CCGCCCCCGCCCCTCCGCCGCCTCCCCCTTCCACCCTCCACTCCTTCCCCCCGCCTCCGCGCGCGCGCGCCCCGGTCTTTCACTTCGGCCTCGCGCGCCCCCAGCTCGTGTCCCTTCATTTCTTCTCCTTTTACTCTTTCTCCCCTTCCTCGCGCCCCGTTTCCCCCGCCTTCCCCGCTTTCACTCACTGCCTCATGCCCGCCATGCTCCCCTCCTTTCCTCTCTAACGAGCCCCCCCTTAACTCTGTCCACCCCCAGTGGTGCCCTCAGGGTGCGGGGGCCGCTCCCTACTCTCAGTTTTGTGTTTGCCGGTGGTTGGGACAAATGGGGGATCCTTACGGGTGAAGGAAGCACAGGATAATTATCTTGATTTAGACAGAGGAATCAGGAGCGCAGAATCTTACCCCTTTATTTCATCGTGCACCGTTCCCTCGTCCTCCCGTAGAAGGGAATTGTCTCCGCCTGTGTGGGTACTTCTCTAGCAACTAAACCACCGCTTTCTTCAGCTGAGCTTCTGGGACCCACTGGATCTGTATCCTAGTTCAGTGCCTGAGGGTCAGTGGAGTCAGAACTTACCCTTCCCTAAACCAAACCCGGATTTAGAGTAGTTTTTGCCTCCCTGAGCTAAATTACACTAAGAAGCTAGCCACTCCTGTGAGTGCAGAGGTTTGGGTACTATTCGCCAGCCCAGGACAGCTTTCCCCCTCACAAAGGTATGGTAGCCTCTTTGGATTCTTCCCCAGCATCAACTTCTCTCCAGACACAAGATGTTAGTTCATAGGAATGGCACTGAAGTGGAGATGGAGGCATTGCTGGTGGGTGGGAGGCATGCGGATGCTAACTGAGCTAGCTAGCACGCTTTTTTTCTGCTGTCATCTGGAGAATCAGGTAGCTTTCCGAGAATCAGTTTTTTCATTTCTGATAAACGATTATTTAGAGGGCTTGTGTGTCTGTGCGAAGAGAGCTGGGAGATACTTAATATTAGTATATTTCAGCAAAGGAAAAGAGCAGTGCTTTCAGGCCAGACTGCAACAGAGAGATCTGGACTTGGAGCACGAGTAAAGGCAGGTTTAGCAGATCTGTGTTGGGAGAAGAGCTGATGCTTTTGAGTTTTTAAAACATTTCTCTCTGAAAATTTTTATTTTTATTTTTATTTTTGAGTACACAATGCAGGCATAGAATCAAAGTGAAAAGAAATCTCACCTGTTTCCTCCAGCCATCCAGTCCTCCTCCCAGTGCAGATGACTCCTGATTGTTTTCTTGCAGCAGCATGGAGTCTATATGTTGTTTTCTGTATGTTAGAGATTAACTTATTTGGGAGTTTAGTGCTAACTGTATTGCTCTTTCTTTGATACATTGAACTAAACTCTTCCTTGAGGTCTGATAACCACTTGGATTCATATTTTTGGTGCTGGATCAGTCTTGATGGAATATTGTCCTAGAGTAGCATTTCCATTGGTGCTTGGTTGGGAAGGAGGCTACTTCTGGAGCTGCTAAAGGTGGTGCCATGGAGGGGCTCTGTGTATTTTGAGGGAAAACCCACACCTGTTGGAAATGGTGCTTTTTTGGTGACTGATATCCAGTCTTTGACTGTTTTGGAATGGATTGGGTCAAGGATAGTCTTTCCTTGGGCTTTTTCCTTAGATAGGCTATATAAATAATGAGTTAATGGGAATAACTGATCTGGTAGTACTGTCTTCAGTTTTTTTTATTTTTATTTTTTTATTAAGTTATAGTCAGTTTACAGTGTTGTGTCTATTTCCAGCGTAGAGCACAATTTTTCAGTTATACATGAACATACATATATTCATTGTCACATTCTTTTTCTCTGTGAGCTACCACAATATCTTGTATATATTTCCCTGTGCTATACAGTATAATCTTGTTTATCTTTTCTACATATGCCTGTCAGTATCTACAAATTTCGAACTCCCAGTCTGTCCCTTCCCACCTCCCTCCCCCCTTGTCTTCAGTTTTAAGAAGAGAATAATTTTTAGTCTAGTGGCAGTGATAGTCATGGTATGGAATGAAGTAGATAAGTATTAATCAACGGGAATCAGAACACTGGACCTTTAGGCTGAGCAACCCAGTTTGAGAGGAGGTGAGGCTTATGGACTTTTGTCCTGCCTGTTCCTTGCTTGAGAACACTTTGAATGAGGTGAGAGTGATTTGTAGCTGACAGCAGCATCCATCTTTATGACACTGTGGTTTGCCTTCCCTGACTGTGTGTGATGTCTGTTAACTTCCTGTTTAGAGGCGGTCTGAATAGAGGCTGCATTCAAATACTTGTCTAGGAACAATGTTAGCCAGGTTGCCTGATCAGCACTTGAGATCTAAGTTCTGGCAGTAACTCTTACAGCAGTGTTTAGCATAAGGCCACAGAGTGGAGAAGGGAGGGAAATGTGAGAAATTTGTTCTGATTCTTATAGTCTTAAAGTGCATTCAAAAGCCTGTGTGCTGCTCAGCGCCCCGTGTTTTTTCCCTTGGCTGGGCCTAGCCAGACCTCCAGGTTGGGTTTTGATTAGAAAACAGCAGTGTGGAAGAAGAGTCAATGTGTCAATTATAGTATCCTAATCATATGCTGGGGCCTCTGGATTCATCCTAGCTTTAAGCATTATCGAGTATGTTGTATGTAAACCAGGCCTCTTGTTTCGACTTACTGATTCTTACTTCCTTATCGCCCCTACCCACCAAGCTGGAGGTGCATGTATAGGGGAACAGCAGTTGTGCTGTCCTGGTTTCTAGACTGTGGAGCATATTCCATGTTAGCCACCCCATTGAGAGTCATGCTGACAAGCAGCCCCTCAGCTCAGAATGCTTATATTGTTCAGCTCATTGAGAAAAACCAAACCAGCTTTGGTTGATTGAAGCAATTGCTAGAGAAATTGTAAGATTTGAACCATAACTGGAACCAAAGGACTTTTTTCTCCAGACCCCGTGCAATGCTTAGGCATGTATCCTAATGTATTAAGACATAATAGCCAGGCATTTTCTGAGACAGTTTAGAGAGGAACGGGAAAAAAAGACACACACTCAGATTGACTATAAATCTAGTGGTGGCGTAAAGCTGTCCACCTCTTGCTCAGGAAAAATCCAACCTATCAGGCCAGTGCCACACAAAGTTACAGTTTCCTGCATTGGCTAAAGCTGGGAAAAGATACATAAGGAAGTTCAATTTCTGTTGAAAAGAGCTGGCTTTTGAGGGAAGAGCTTCTACTAGGCATATTGTTGGTTTTACCTGAAGTAATCCCTGTGATGCTTTTTCTGTAGGTACTGGTTAGGGATTTTGGCGGCTCCAGAGTCCATGAAGCAGAGAGCCTCCGATGTTCGAATTGTAGTGTTGAAAGCCTCTGAAGAATAATATGATTTGAAAGCTCCCTCCTCATGTTCCATCTTTTACCTTTTCTTTTATGATTATATGAAATATTTCTATACTGTTTGAGTTTATCTAGTAGGAAAGGAGTGATCCAGGGTCATTAGGGTTTCACCAGTCTGATGTACTTCTTAGGTGGTATCTCAGTAATGTGTGGTATCTCCCTGAAAATCCGCTCATCTTTGCCATTCCCTTAAGTTGCCATCAACTGGCAAGAAGCTATCAAGCGTTTTGGGTTACAGTATCAGAAACAACAGATGAATAAGAACAAATATTTTGTTGCTTTTGAGTATGAAATGGTCAAATCCCAGACATTAAAGAGACATAATCAATGCAGAAGCTTCTTGGACAGCATGTGAACTTAATTGTTATTAATACTAACCGGTAAACTCTTAATGAAAATGCCAGTACTTCAATATTTCTGAGTCATTCTCTTGTTTCTTTTCACATCTGGCTAATGTATGTTTTAAAAATAATTCAGGTTACCATTACTTGAACCTAAAAATCTTGCCATAAACCTCCTGATAAAGCTTTCTTGATCTTGTCTCATTTTAGGGGAAGATGGAATTTGTAATCTCCCGAAATATAGGCTGGAATGTTAGGATTTAGATTAGACATTAGGATTAGTAAATTCGCATTATGGTCGTGAGGGATTCGAAATGTTAACCAGACAGGTTGTGCATCTCTTACCTAGAAGGTATTTATAAAGTTATCTTTTTGATAGTATTTAAATTCAGACTTTCAGGGAGGGGGAGTTTGTGGGCTAATAAGTGGCAAACTGGAATAGCAGAACACAGGTATAGAGAGTCTAGAAATTCTGGGTCAAATTCTAGCTTTGCTGTATTAGATATATGACTTTGGGAAGCCTCCTAATTTTTTAAGTCTCATTTCTTGCACAGTAAAAGCTAGTCTTTATAGTGGCCTCTAAGGTGTTACATGGTTTGCCCTTCCCCATCCGTTTTCTTTTTGATCTTCTGTCATCCTCCCTTTTGCTGACTCCATTCCAGACACCATTGACTTGTTCCTCAAATGCATCAGTCCTTTATCTTAGGAACTTTGCGCTCGTTACTCCCACTAGTGGGAAATAGCTGAGTTTTCCCACAGAGATAATACAAATGACTAATTTTCATACCTTTTTCAATCAAGTCTGCTTAAATGTCACCTTTTCAGTGAGACCATATTCTACCCCTATTTCGAATTGCACGTTCAGCTTCCACCCCTCACTCCTAATCCTTTTCTGTTTTTTTTTTCCTTTTTTATAGTACTTAACAACTTTCTAACGTACTTATTTGTTACATTCATTGCTTATTGGTTCCCCTGGTGTAAGATCTATGAAGGCATGAATTTATTATGGTGTTTTGTTTAATGCCTAGTACAGTGTCTGGCATATAGTTAATATTCAGTAAATATTTCTTGATCAAATAGGAATGATAACTTTTTCTAACCTCATGTTTGTTTATAACGAAAGTATGAAATGTGATATGTGTGATACAGGATCTTAAAATGTCTTTTGAACTTTGAAGCATTAGACAAATAATGATGGTAAAACGATTGCCTTCCCATTGAAATGGTAAATAATACTTGATTATTGGAAAAAAGTT